AAGCGAGAAATCACCCCCAGGAGGGATGGCCACACCATAATCCCTTCTCCTCCATTCTCCTCTCGGGATCTCGGGCATGCACGCACATGCAGCCAGTGTGAGTTTAAACCACCGGGTCCGGGATTCGAACCACGGTCGACTACATGGGAGTCCAGCGACATAGCCATTACGCCAACTGCTAGTCCCTGGGGACAGTCTTCGGGAAAGATGTGACCCATGTGCCATCCCAGCCTGTGTCCCTGCTGCAGAGCCAGCGCTGCTCATCTGCGGAGGGTTCCCACTGCCAGTCAGCTAGGCGGCCAGGCTGGCCTGCACCCCGGGCCTTTCCAGCTGGGGAACGACTGCAGAGATCCGCCAATCCCACTGGGCACCACAACCTGAGCAGCCAGGGCCGAGGCAGGGGAACTAACAGGGCCTGTGGCCACTGTCCACTCCCGGTCCCAGCCCTGAGGGGTGCCTGGCCCGCCCTGGCCGGCCGCAGGACAGGTCCCGCCCCCAACTCACCTGTTTGAAGCAGAAGGGCATGGTTAGCACACTGACCCCCACTATGCTGTTCACTATGTTCGTGATCAGCCCCCAGTTGGAGGCTGCGGCCGTGGCCATGCCGAGGGGCTGGGACCCGGGGTCGCCCGGCTGCGGCCAGCACTTTGCAAGGTGCCGGGACCTGGCGGGCTGCCTGGAGGAGGGGGCCTAGAGGGCAGGCGGCGTAGGCGTGGTCAGCCTCCAGACCCCGCCAGGCCCCGAGGCCGCGTCATGGCTGCCCGTCCCTCGCTCGGTCTCGCGGGCCGTCTCCAAGGATCAGGGCCCAGACCCGGAAGAGACGGGAGGCGTGGGCCAAAGATAACTCAGCCCCGCTTCGCCGCCTCCACGCACACGCTTCCGCCTTCGCCCCGCCCGGAAGTGACGATCGCGGGGGCGGGGCTCGGAGGGACGCGAGCCCACGGGATGGGGCCCGGAAGGGCCACGAGGCACTGAGGGGCAAGGCCGTAAAGGCGGGGCTACCTGGGACACGACCCAATAAGTGGAGGGCCTGCGGGGGCGGGGCCTCCTGTGGGGCGGGGCCTCCTGTGGGGCGGGGCCTGTCTGCGGGGCGGGGCCTCCTGCGGGACGGGTCCTGACTGCGGGGCGGGGCCGAGCCCGGGGCGGGGCCCGAGTTGCCCCAGGGCAGTGCACCTGCGCAGGGCTCAGCGTTGGTCTTCCGCGCCACCTGGGCCCCAGACGCGTCTTTCTGCAGGACTAGGGACGTGCCCCGCGGGGCCTCGTCCTGAAGGGCAGGAGAGAAAGGGATGTGTGGAGTGAGGGGTGCTGCTCCTTCCGGACCGGTCTAGGCTTCCAGGTCGTTTTCAGCAGTTACTCCAGAACTGATTGAGGGTGCATGCTCTGTGCCCAGGGCGTGGGGCGAGGCCTTACTGTCTGAGCTGAAAGCCTCACGTGCGCGGCGGAGGAATCAACACCTGCGTTGTACGTAGGAAACGCTGAGGCACTCAGCTCGGGTCACACAGATCCCGAGAGCCAGCCCAGGGATTTGCTTCCAGGGCCGGTGCCCTTCAGAACTGCACCCAGAGCAGTAGAGTCCAACACTCCAACGGGAGGAGCTAAAAAAATGCTGGAGAACTGGGGAGACGGAGGCTGGTATTGCTGGAGAAACCTAGGAGGGTTTTAAGAAGGAAGTGGCTTTTCTAGGCTGGGGCCTGAAGGACAGCTGAGAATATTTCAGGTAGGAATGGCAGTTGGGAAGAGAGAGCTGATTAGGGCCCCCTGCACCTGTAAGCTGGCACCTGACAAATGCTCCCTCGGAGTCTGCGGCAGGAGAGCAGAGAGATGGGAGGCTGGGTCCCCACCTTGGCTAGGAAGAGTCACAGGCCACAGGGAAAAGGATCAGGAAGCTAGGCCGCACTCCTGGCAATGCAGCCTCTGCCTTAGAACAACTTAGCAGCCAGGTTAGGCTCTGTCCCACGGCCAGGGTAGCGAGTAAGTACGAAGCCGAAATAGTGAGTGCCTGCCTTCGCTGGGTTCTAGGCACACGTAGATCTGGCTTTGTTCCGGAAATACGCATGAAAGCCAGGGCGGAACCTAGTGTGTGTTTCAGGGCAGCCTGTGGGCCCGCCCTGCAGCTCCGAGGGCAGAGTGGCCAGAAACGTCCATGCTCCCTTTGCGTTTCCTCCCCGGGTCCACTGCCCTCCCCGTCACTGTCACCCTGGACTTGCCATCTCTTTTCTGTGAAGATTTGCCACGTATGTCCCCATCCCTGGACAACCTGGGGAGGGACACTGTCCCTTCAACCCCGTCTCCCCTTCTAATCGAATAGAGCCTTGGCGGCACAGATGGCTGCCTGGGCAAAGACTACACTTCCCAGCCTCCCTTGCAGGGAGCGGTGACCGTGTGACAAGTTCAGGCCAATGAGAGGTGAGCAGAAGGGACAGGTGTGACCTCTAGGTCGACCCTTAGGAGGAGGGGCTCTGCCGCTCAGAACATTGCTGGTACCAAGCCCCGGGGGCATGCAGACAAGGCCTTTCCCACGGCAGGACAGCGCAGCAAGCTGGCAGCAGCCTGGATTCCCGGGACAAGGGACGATGTCCTGGAGCCGTCACCTAGCCAGTCCCTGACCGCGACCTCCCTACTGCCCACGAGGAAGGGTTTAAACCATGTGGCTTAGGCCACTGTTACTTTGGGCTCTGTCTCCGGAAGCCAAACCTATAACCTAAAACATACCCCACTCCTATATAAACCAACATAATCCTATATATTTGAGTGTGTATTAAGGTGTTTTTGCAGTTTTTTTCTTTTGCGCTAATGGAATTATACTGTATATTTTCTTCTGCAACTTTCTCTTTTTTAAAACGTTAGTTATTTTGGGCGACCAGCAGTTGGCATAACAGCTATGTCACTGGACTCCCATGTAGTTGACCACGGTTTGAGTCCCAGACCCGGTGGCTTAAACTCACGCCGGGTGCGTGTGCGTGCATGCCCAAGATCCCGAGAGGAGAATGGAGGAGAAGGGATTGTGATGTGGCCATCCCCTAGGGGGGGGATTTCTCTCTCTCTCTGTCTTTCTGGTGAGTGTATGCGCCCTATGGCAAAAAATCTCTCCCCCTCCAAAAAAAGAAGTTATCTTTATTTTATATATTATTACTTTTAATTCACCAGGGAGGGAAAGTGAGAAAGCAAGCCAACAGGTCTGAGACCTGAGACTCGAACCACAGTCAGCCATGTGGGAGTCCAGCCCTCAAGAAACACGCCACCTGCCGACCTCACAGCTCTGTCGTTCAGCACCGTTCACAGGATCTGCCGTCACGTTGCCCGTGTTCTGAGTCACTCGCTCTGGCTGCTCTCTGGAACTCCGCAGCTGACCCCGCCCAGGACGCGTGCCCACTCTCCTGCCGAGGCGCTGTGTGGTCGCGACTCTCCAACAGGCGGTGGTCTGAGCCTGGCCGCGTGTGGTCCTGGCCGCACGTGGCAGAGCTTCCTTCGGGAAACTCCAAGGAGTGGGATTGCGGGCCCAGGCGGGCACACCTGTGCCCTAACCGGGCACCACCGACCCGTCGAAGCTCCCATGTACATCAGATGGCGGCAGGTTTCTTCAGGCAGTGTTTTCTGCTCTGCAGCCTTGCAGCTCCAGTCCCAACTGTCCCGTCCTTCCGCAGACAGCCACAGGTGGGCCTGCCCGGTGCCAGCCAAACTTCATTTACGAAACCAGCAGCTGGCCAGACTCGGCCTGGGAGATGCAGCTGGTCCCCCTGCTCGACCGTGTCCCCGTGGGTGTCATGGATTTGGCCAGTCCAGGGAACAGGAATCTCATTGTGGCTTGCTTGTCTAATCACAGTCAAGGCTAACCACCTCTCGGCACCCCAGTGCCCATCCTCGCTGCCTCCGTGCGGTGAGGTGAGGCGCTGTGTCCTCGTCAGCTGCTGGCCTCCGTTCTTGGGGAGGTTGGGAGTCCCTTCCGTGTGTCCGATACCTAAGCCGTGCCCTCAGTCTGGGTCTGCCTGGGATCTCCACGCTGTGCTAGTTTCTCACTGCTGTTGTAGAGCGTCTGCGTGACCATAGCGGCTTGCAGAGCACGACCACCGGGCCTCTTGGCCCTGGAGGCCGGGAAGCCAGTATGGCACTCGTGGGGCTTTGACCAGAGGCGGGCAGGCCCCTCCCTACTGCTCCCTCAACTGGAGGCAGGATGCCGTTCCTTGGGGTGGTGGCACCAAAGTCCCTGTCTTCTTGCTGCAGACTGGGAGCTTGTCCCAAGCCAAGGGCTGATGCAGTCCTGGCCTGTCACCTTAATCACACCTGCACAGTGCCTTTGCTTCACCCCTGGGGCTCCAGGGCTCCGTGTGTTTGGGGCCACAGTGCTGCCAGCCACCCTCGCAGTGAGATGCCGGGCGCGGTGGTGAGGCCTCCCAAGCGGCTCAGGACCTGGATCTGGCTGGGCGCCCTGAGGCCTGCAGCAGGCTCTTCCACCTGAGCTGCCTCTTCCTCCTCCGGGCTGAAGGGAGGCTTTTTGAGGTGGGTCCTTATCAGACTGTCAGTGAACCAGCTCGCCTGCACCAGTGGTGGCTCGCGGCCCTTGCTCCTCACTGCGCTGGTCACTGGGCTGGCCTCAAGGTGTCCCAGGTTGGCCGGGGAGAACCAATAAAGTGGTGAGGGTGAGGGGGGCTGGGGGCTG